ACAGGAGGAAACAGCTTAATTAAGGCTTATCTGAGAAATTCCATTATCACTATACGTTTTGTCAACTGATCGACTTTAGGACACACTGAACACTGAAAATTCATCATCGAAAGTAAATCTCTAAATCAATCATTTATCCGAAATGAGCAGTGAAACAACAAAAAAGACTGTGTAACCACCTTGACCAGAAGTCTGAATTACTCAAGATCAATAAGCGCAATCACAGTCGAAATGGCCACGTCTGTTTGTTTTAATTTGTCTTATCTACCAAGTGAACGAGAGACTATTTCAAATACAATATAGCAATACGTGCCATCCATCCATATCTGCAAATATCCCGATATGAATATCGTTTGAATCACATATTCAAGGAATGTTCAACGCACAGGGTAATATATACATATAAATAACCTTTTACTGAAGATTTCAATCACAATTACTTAATGGAAGTCAATCACTGTTACAGAACATATAGAACAATTATTCAAGAGATACAGTTGCTTTAATGCACTTTATTTTTCATTCTCATGATAGTTAATCGAGATTTGATAGTTAATCGGGGTATTGAAGGTTAGTGATTGAATGCCATTGACACTTGTAGAGTGCACAACATCTGAATATAATGAGGTCAACATCTCAATTAATATGACAGATTCCGGTGGACCCAATCTATCAAATAATCAAACTTGACTTAGTTGTATAAAATATAGACTTTCAATAAAGAATGGGTAATTTAAAAACGGATGACGCACTATTTATCTAACAAAACAAATCAAATAGAGAGAGAATTCAAAATTTATTAGGCCTTTCTCGCCTTTATTGATTCTAGAACGAACGAGAAAAATTACTATAGAGAACTTCCCTGGTTGTACCAAATATGGCTCTATACTCTGTAGATTCTACTTTGATAAGTTTTCCAAGGATAAGGCATTATCATCCAATATGTAAAGAAGGACTATATATATTGTACATCTAAATATACAATCGTCATCTATTTTTGATGGTTTGTTATTTTTTGCATTTTTTTTAGAAATGTAACATTTTTCACAGATTTTATTTTTTCACGGAATTCATATAATTTCTGCTTTTATTACAATTATCAAGAATTAAAAGCGATATTATTAGGAATCAATACTAGGACGACCAGAGCCTAGAATGTGATAATGTAGATGAAGGTCTCTTTTAAAGAGGCAAACTCAAATAATTGGCAAGGGTACAGTAGCAGGCAGTCTTGGTTTGTATCCATGACCATAGGCATCCACGACCACATCCATGACCATAGACATCAATGATCATAGGTATCCATAACCATATGCATCCAAGACCATAGGCACTCAGCAATATATGTTATAAGGCATAAGAAAGATTGTATGTACATTGTCTGTATATTTACTTTCTATTCATAATTTAGAATATGCTCCTCATCAGTGAGGTTCTCTTCTTACATCTGTTTTAACAGTTATTGTATTATTCTTCCACTGTCTGTCTATACATAGAATATTTCAGGAATCCATTATTTTTTGTAACCATGGAAATTACCATGTCATTATTAGAAAAAAAGATAAAGGAATTCCTTTCAAAGGGATCCATCGAGAAATAACTAAGTTGATGGATCTCTGGAGAATGTTGTAGAACATAGCATATTGGGGATTGTTATTGACGTAATAGTCTCATTCCGGTTCACATAAGATCCAGATGCGTCCTGTCAAAAATAATGGCTTTACGAGGTGCTATTCAATCTGTGTTATGGTGGAAATGGTAGTTTCGTGCTTTCTGAACGGATCTGTGTACTATTTTTGTTGATTGTTATTTTGTTTTGATAGATATTACTAAGCATCCTTCCGTTAACATCAACATCTTTGTCAATAAAATCAGTTTGTTTGAACTTGCGCATATTAAAACACATATTGCATACTAACGTTTCAATGAAACCAATTTCTTGCAGTTTTTCAAACTTAGCTTGCATTGGATGTTTTGCGAAAACTTCAACAGACTTCGAGGGTCTTAGATGTACTATAGACTTTCGGTTCAAAGTAAGTGAAAGGAACATATACAGTAATTGCTTAATATATTATATAATACAACATACCTAGCTGGTTTTGATTTGTCTGGAGATAGGCCTAATTTCGATATCGTATGTTTATCACAACACACAACTCATATAGCTAAGATCTAGTTAAATAAAGATAAACACAAATGGAGGAGGCATTTTCAAGAAGTAAGGTAGGCCTACAGTGAGTTTGCATCATATATTTAAATATGTTCTTTTGCCTTGCATTCTGCAGCGTTGGATATTTATTGAATATTTTGGCAGAGATGAGACCAATAGAAATAGAAAGTTAAAGCATAAGGGAAATGTGTTACGAATAAAACGTATGCACGCAAATAGTACCATGGGTATCAAGTGCTTAAAACCTTAAAAAGAAACATAACCGCCATTTTGAAACAAGACGACGGCTTTTAAGACGCCACTTGTGGGACAATTGAAGACTTTACATGGACACATCATAAAAGTTGAACCATTTAAATTGTCGTGGAGTATTACAAATGTGGAGACACAGACGGACAGACAGACACAGACGGACAGACAAGTGGGTAATTGATTCCATAGGCTCACGCCATGTGAGGTAAAAAGAGCACTATACACTTACGCACGATAGGGGCTTGGACAAATATGGATCATCATATATATCTGCTTCGGAGTTCTGGAGGATATTTTTGCTCCTCCGATATCCCTCTTGAGTCAGCCGAGGCGTGAGATAAGTTAACTTTGGATGCCAAATATGAGTGCCAAAAACTGTCAGAAGAATATTGAACAAATATTTCACTCTATTGAGGTGAATACCTGTACATCTTTCACAAGTGATATTCCACGAAGCCCGAAGGGCAAGTGGAATATCACCTTGTGAAAGTGCTACAGGTATTCACCGAAAATAGAGTGAAATATTTGTTTTATTATATCACTGTCTAGCTAAACATCCCTAATATTATTAAGTCATTAAGTCTTCAGATATTTTTACGAATCTACTCGGTTCGTCTGCCATTTTGACTTAAACTGAACTAAATTATTTACACTGAACGAAAACAAATTCTTTGAAAATTCCCGGGAGCATGGGATATCGCTAGATATCTCACGGTTGTCTTATCTGATTAGCAATGCCATTGAATATCGCCAGATATCCCACGACATGTGACCCGGTTTTGACCAATCATACTGTCGCTAGCTAGATAGTGATATAATAATAAAAGATATCATCATTGATCGGAAATCATGTATTGATGATATTGTAATTTTGCCCTATTGTGTAACAAATTGTTTCAATGAAATTTGATCAAATCGTGTCTATCAAAAAATAAATATAATTCCGATGCATAATATATAGATCGTCACATTTGAAACATAAATGTTACTTCTTGATATAATCAAGATTACAATTGTAAGATGATTGTATCTCAGACACTTTAACCATAGGTTAGTATGGCGACGTCCGTCAGAAAACGGGGGTAAACATTATTGTTTTTGTCAAGTTTTACTTCAGCTTTTAAAACCTGTACAACATATACAAATTGAATTTCCGAAACCCACAGGCCATGGGATAACCTATAATGGAATATGCGGACCGTGTTTTTATAACAATTCGAAGCCAAAACAATCCATCGCGTATTCACCATCCATCCCTTCCAATTGTAATTAATTTCACCTCGATACGTTATATTAGAAATTGGATCATTTATTGTCCTGGTATCTTCAAGGCTGTCGTGATCAATTTCAACACCTAGATACACGATAGAGGAAGGTTAATTTTTCCCGGTCTTGATTAGCATATGGTACGCGTCGAGAACAGACATTTGCGATACACAAAAATTACCAAAATACATTAACGTGTCAATTTTTATCTAGGTTTCATTACTAAAAAGGGTGATTGATTTAGCAATTAGACATCTGATTTGTAGTTATTCAGTAAATGTGTTTGAACTATTCCGTAAATGAAGGTATGAAATGATTAATTCTTTCTTGGCACGGCGTTGATTTATATTGTATGTTAAAATGTTATGTTATATCAGCTCCCGTAAGATCAGCTGTTAGGTTCAGTTCCTTGGCTCGTACATCTACCTTTGGGATGTGAACTTCATGGTTATGCTCGTCTCGTATCATCATCACGCTGAGATAAATCAGCATGTCAGTGTCGGAGTGTATAAATTTCTAATTTCCGATGCGTATACAATTTGTCACTTACTTCAACCGTCAGATATCCTTCAGTCAAATCAAAACGAGTGTAGCATTCCATATTAAAGTGAGTCTCTCAAAGGAACGATATGATATGTATTCTCACCCTTGACACAGCCTATCCCGCAAGCAGAGTCTAGTTATAAACTACAGATGAAGCGAAGTCAAACGAATGCAAAGGGTACCGGTAGCCACAGCCGGAATCGAGGGAACAATCTGAAAACTCAGATTTTGTCTAAATTTTAAGTAGGCCATGCTTTTAGCTCATCCAAATCGGTGTCTTAAGTTCAAGAAGCAAAGATATATGTTCTGCACACCGTCTTGGAACATTAAATGTCTTTTACTTGTAATCTGCATCAAAAGAGTTACAATATTTATATTTTTAGTGTTCACAAAAACAATTATAACACAGTGTTATCAAGAAATTCCGGTAGTGTGGGAAATATTTTGGTTATTTTGGAATTTTATTTTGAGCAAGAGAATCATATTTGGCTACATCAATAACTAGTTATCTGCTGCAACGTTACATCATATAAAGCCTGTTAAAGGTCTTGGGAATAAACTTCCAAAACTGCAGTCTGACTGTTAATCTTATTGGTTCTTTTTAGGCATCAGTCGGGGCATATATGTTATCTTCTAGTCGTCTTTCGTGTCCCTCAGTGCCAATTAAGTCACATTATGGTGATTAATTCTCCATCGGCAAATTGACATGGATAGAATTCTATCGATAGCTGCTTGGGAAACTAAAACAGTGATTTGATATCTGAGTGATTCTCACAAGCTCAGCCTCTCTAAGTAGTATATAAATTCCGAAAGTTTGGCAGGCAGAGTAAATTGCAACTGACGGCGGTTTGAGGCCAGAAAGGGAACTGTTACATTAAGTGATTGAGGATATTTATTTAACAAATTGAATTAAGGAGGATTTAGGATATCAGGAAGCAGCTAGTGTCTTGGAAATTACTTCCCGAATACCAAGGAAGGAGCGTTATAAATTTCCAATAGTCAAGATCGTTTAATGGGTTAATGTATACAATAGTTTTGTATGCGTTTCATTATCAATACCGTCTTAATATCCCAGTGGCGCAATGGTATGAATCAGTCTCACAATGGAGGACGGCTATTTGATAAACTGTAAGGTAGAGTACCTTTTTAAAAGCGAAATAAACATAAATTTATACTTTCTATTAAAACAGAATTTTGCTCTTTATGATAGTTCATTTGATATACCGTATCAAAACTTTTGAGAGTAAACGGGAACAGTTAATTTTTCGTGGTGTAACAATCAAAGACTTATTAGTCCAATTTTGATGAACGAGCTGTATGAATAACATAGATTTTAAGGTTCAATGGTCATAAACGAGTCAACCCTGGCATCTAATACACCATATATTATTCCAGATTTTCAATTCTCTCAGACTTGAAATTAATGCTATCGTGTTTCCGTATATTTTAAAGCCCTCGTGCAAAGCCTGAAAATATATTTTTATCATTTCATTTCTCAAATATTCAATTTTTTCAAATAAAAAGTTGTAATCTTTTAGATTATATTCCACTATACAGTACAAACACATTATCTGTAAAACATCATTGCGAAGACTGAACAAAGGACACACACTTCTAACAATGAAATGTTATATTTAAAGTTTGTTGATGTTTTAAAACATATAGCATATTATTATAAGATTTGCCCCCTACAGTACGTGACATCATCGTGATGTCACTTAGGGTGCTAGCATTTTAGCATTCTCTGTTGATCCTTTATAGATATTCTAGACTTTCAAACTAACCCAATGTGCATTATCTATCTAGATTGAAAAGAAGAATACACAAGGATTTTTATTTTGAAAGGGATTTTATATTGAATGAACGATTGGCACATATATACGAGGGGTGATCCAAAAGTCTTGGACGCCCTGCTCTAATTTTGTTGGTTTTTGATAAAATTACTTTAAACTTTCCAATAATAAAGACCAACAGCCTAACTACTTTGTGTATTAATTTCATGGTGAAATGATATATTTTATGTAGTTTTCCCGATAGTTATTAATATAGTGACCCTGCCACCCGGAACGGTATTTGCACGTGGCATGTTGCTGCTATTTGACTTGTTTTGCAAGTCTTGACCACTATCTTTCCTTAAATTTTGAATGTTCAACCATGTTAGTTTACTTCCTTTGTTACTAGGCAACCAATTATTTGTGTTTAAATCATAATGTCACATATGGCAATGGCCGTATATGTCAAGTTCTAAGAAAATGACATCAGACAATCAACCCTCATTTTGGTGTCATTTTTGCTCCAAGATGGCTGCTGAAATGCAGAACATGAAAGAAATCAAAGTGGAACAAAGAAATTCAATACTACAATATATTTTCACTATTATTGACATTGAGCAGCTTCAATATGCACGATACAGTCTAGATATGGCTCCGTGTGATTTTCTTCCTTTTCTCCAAGTTGAAAGGAGGGTTGAAAGAAAATGTTTTTTACTCATTGGATGAGGTTTAGAGTGGCACTCCAGTAGCATTTGTATCACATAGGCAATTGCCGTTTCATAAATGTCTTTCATTCATTGGTAAAGCGGTATGAAAAATGTGTTCAAATTCGTGAAAAATATGTTGAAAAGTAGGTCTTAATATGCGATGATGATGATGGCAGATGACACTCAGACTGAAAATCGGAAATTCTCTCATATCATGACTGGTGTTAGGTTGTGCACCTGCACCTAAAGTATTTGCCATATTATAACAGTTGTGACTTGATTTGCTATATTTAAATCCGTTCCGGGTGGCAGGGACCCGGTATCAAAAAGTATTTAGAAAGGTAGCTAAAATATATTAGTTTCTGTTGAAACTTACACACAAAGTTGTTGAGATGTTGATCTTTATTATCTGAAAGATTCGTGTAATTATATAAGAAAATAGCAAAGTTAGAGCGGGGCGTCCAAGACTTTTGGATCACCCCTCGTACATGTAAACTATATTATATTATATATGATACATACAATATTTGGGGTCATTTAAGTGCAGTTGTAGGTTATTGACTTAATATATATTCAGTATATCACATCTGTCACTGGTATATTTGCCAGTGTGGAATGCAAACTGTTGAATTTAATAATCAACAGGATCAGTCATCGCGGAAATAACCATCTAACACTACAATAAGGACGCAAGCATACATCTCTGACTCATCAAGCTTTTATATAATCTTTTTTTATTATTCATTACTTTATTTATTTATATCAGTAAAATATTTTATACAAGAACTCCTCGATCGCCTTTCAGCATTATATAATGCTCGGCATCTGATCATTTACTGTCTTTCTATGTTCACTTGGCTCTCGTCGGTCGCTGAACGCAATGACTAACGAGCGTGCGAAGATGGTTGATGGTATGAGTGTTATTATAAGAATCATAAGCGGCAACATTGCAAAAACTACCTCTCGCAATAGTTTGGAATTTGCTTCCTTAAATTGACATTCACCTACACTGTCTGAGTTACAGATACTCCTTTAATCTACCTTTATCCAGTCAGATAACGATCGATCCCGCGACCGATCAAAATGATTCCGCTACCCAAATGTTACATTTATTGAATTTTATGCATATACATATTTACATATATATATATTTATTTTATACATATTTTGGAACATATTAACACAACATCAGATCGGTTTGGTCATGAGAAGAAACTATAAACTAAATTCAGGAAAGAGAGGTACATATTTTGGAACATATTAACACAACATCAGATCGGTTTGGTCATGAGAAGAACCTGTAAACTAAATTCAAGAAAGAGAAGTGTATATTTTGGAACATATTAACACAACATCAGATCGGTTTGGTCATGAGAAGAAACTATAAACTAAATTCAAGAAAGAGAAGTACATATTTTGGAACATATTAACACAACATCAGATCGGTTTGGTCATGAGAAGAAACTATAAACTAAATTCAAGAAAGAGAAGTGCATATTTTGGAACATATTAACACAACATCAGATCGGTCTGGTCCTGAGAAGAAACTGTAAACTAAATTCAAAAAATAGAAGTACATATTTTGGAACATATTAACACAACATCAGATCGGTTTGGTCAAAGGAAGAAACAATAAACTAAATTCAAGATAGAGAAGTGCATAATTTGGAACATATTAACACAACGTCAGATGGCTTTGTTCATGAGAAGAAACTGTAAACTAAATTCAAGAAAGAAAAGTACATATTTTGGAACATATTAACACAACATCAGATCGGTTTGGTCATGAGAAGAAACTATAAATTAAATTCAAGAAAGGGAGGTACATATTTTAGAACATATTAACACAACATCAGATCGGTTTGTTCATGAGAAGAAACTGTAAACTAAATTCAAGAAAGAGAAGTACATATTTTGGAACATATTAACACAACATCAGATCGGTTTGGTCATGAGAAGAAACTGTAAACTAAATTCAAGAAAGAGAGGTACATATTTTGGAACACATTAACACAACATCAGATCGGTTTGTTCATCATGAGAAGAAACTGTAAACTAAATTCAAGAAAGAGAGGTACATATTTTGGAACATATTAACACAACATCAGATCGGTTTAATTTGGTCAAGGGAAGAAACTATATACTAAATTCAAGAAAGAGAGGTACATATTTTGGAACATATTAACACAACATCAGATCGGTTTGGTCATGAGAAGAAACTGTAAACTAAATTCAAGAAAGAGAGGTACATATTTTGGAACATATTAACACAACATCAGATTGGTTTGATGAGAAGAAACTGTAAACTAAATTCAAGAAAGAGAAGTACATATTTTGGATCATACTTGTTACGCGACATGATAAATGAGCAAATACTATGTCAAATAACACGAATACCAGCAATACATATCATGTTAGTTTGCCATGATTACATTAAATATTTTTACAGCTTGCAGATGAAAGTGCTTTGAAACTAAGAGTTTTTGGTGAATAATGCATGACAACAAACAATTAGGACTGCATTATGCATATACTTTGGTTACCTAATGCAAAATCGAGTTATTCGAGGACAAACTTTATTTTGTCCTGGGGGAGGATGTCACGAAAGCATATTGTAACAAAGGTTGACTTATTGGATCCAGTTGAGTCATTTTACACATTATTTCCTTTAAAATTTGACATTTGAATTTGATTGTATAGTACGTTAAATAGTTAATTAAATTATTCTTCAACTATTTGTTAGCAGCAATCAAATTATATTTCAAACTACAATAAAACAGGTATTGATGGAGAGTTCCTTTCAGTTTTCTAAATTACATCATATGTTTTGTATTGATGGATTTACATATTAGCCGTACACAGGATGCAAATTTGTGTCGTCATTTGGGAATAAAAAGCGTCGAATTATTGGTCCCCTGGTACGCGAATCTTACTAACATCACAATTTACATGCAAATGGAAATTGCAAACATTTCTGTTGCAACTCCTTTGATAATCAGCCCCTTCGATTCATTATGATGTGAAACGTCAAAATGAACACCTAAATAACGAACAATAGTTTGATTGAAATGTTTGCAATCCAGTCACTGTCGCGCTGAGCTTCCTTTAAATTCATAATTTCACGATTGATGATTTCCTTTTTTCATCAGATTTTCCGATACAACCACAGGAAGTTCATTAATCAAATTTGCGTTAGTTTGTCACCCAACACATTGTAAAGAGCTTGATTGTTCCGACTAATTATATAGACCTTATCTTCTAATATAGCATGAGATCGATTTTACCTGATTGATTTCTAATAGCCGGGGAAACCTCTTCCCCTTAGTCACCTCTTATGCCGTTCCCAGTATTGAACAACGTATCCCTGTTACGATACTACAATAAATTCTAGATTATAGCAGATTTTGTGTTTCATTTTGAACTTGAACAGACATCCGCCTAAAATTTTGATTAACCATTTCAATGATTTGAATTATTAGTGTCATAACAAATCACATTTCGTGTTCTCTAATGGTATTCTATGCATAAGGACGATAGTTGAATAGATTTCATGAATATGAGATTGAATAAGTTGATCCAAAGTCATGGCGAGATTATTTATTAAACCTTGAATTTTACCAATCAATAAACTGGTTTTGAAAGTATTGTATGGGGATCGGGAGTCAATGAAGAAATACTTAACTTAAACTGGTTTTGAAAGTATTGTATGGGGATCGGGAGTCAATGAAGAAATACCTAACTTGTTTTGGGCGTACACACATCTTAAACTCATTTTGATCCATCGTATTTTTCTTATGACAGGAAATAAAACTCCGACGAAACAATATGCCATGGTGTGAACTTTGAATTTATGGATAGTACAAGTAGTAGTAATCACCTCGCACATTATAGGGTTAACGTATTCTTATCATCACACCTTTCCGTTTTGCTGCTAGCATCTATGTTTCTAGAAAGCAACTCATCGATTCATTATTCCATGATGGGGAAGGGGAATTTCCTCATATCCTCATATCCTGATCACAAACATATCAAACAATCCCATTACCAAGACATCGCATTCATAGGTAAATACTAAAACAAAAGGAAATGTCATGGGTTATTTCAATAATACAAATTCCATTAACCGATTGTGGATGTAAAAGCGGGATCGGTGTCACTTATATATGCCTTTTCTTAAGGTAGGCAGAATAGAATGAGTAATCTAGCTTGATTTGGAAACTCTGTTCCCAAATTCTCCACCGTGATCCCCTAATTTCAAATTCACCTTGATTTACCAAAGTCGTGGTCACCTTGATTTTCTTAAATCCTGTCCACCTTGATCGATTTTGAATAAAGAAATGTTCCTCTCGGCTGTAGAGATTCTTTTATATTATAGGTAACACTTATATGTACTCGGTAAATATGTTGTTTTTGGTCAAATGAATTATGTCAACATTAAAAAAAACAATTATAGAAATATTTTGTTGTGTCCACCTTAATTTTTAAGTCGCTTCCACTAAATAATTTCAGTAATGAGTTAAACAAGAAGGAGTCAGTGGTAAATCGATCTTTTTTGCTTTTAACAATCCTATGGTAGACCATCAGCTCTGAAAGTGAGAATAACCATTATTCTTTACAGTGTTAAATGAGCCCCTTCAGACCTATAATGCAATAGAGTTATCTTATTTTACAATTAGAACTTAGCGCTTTTGTTTAATAGATAATACACATTTTTCTTGGTTAAGATTCTCAATTATTACAAGACGTTCAGATTTGACGTACCCTGGGCGCAGAGTATAGACGTGTCGCAAAAAGGTGGCGCATTTGTTTTTTAAGGGTATCGCGTGAATGTAACTTTGATTTCCCGGATTATAAGATAATATTCTAATTAAAGTTATATATCATTTTAAAGCTGTTTCGATGAAGTTTTTAGATCAACTACACTCCGTTCAAGATTCTTGCGCGTTCTTTTTTTAAAAATAGTTTTTTACCAAAACATCTGGCAAATATCCCATGTTGACACGTCACATTTTGAATTATTTTTCGTCTTTAAACGCTCATAACTCAAACAATATATGACTATTATACTTATTTTTCGTCTTGATAAAGGTAGATGGAAGTTTTATTTCAAAGGATGAATTTTAGTCAGCGTCCCATATTGTGACGTCATAGAGTTTGAAAAATAGAATCTGTTGTCAGCGACCTTTTTTGCTCATTTTTTGTTACCTTCAACTTTTCAGGTGTACATTAAACAAAAAATACGAGATCAATTTTTAATAAATCATACATGATTATTTTGCTCTTCAACTCTAGTTTATTAATAAATAGTTGATTTTGTTCGCAAAAGTATGTGTTTTCTGTTGTATGTGGAAAAGTGGAGGACGAAAGATTTTCAAAATTCATTAAAATAGGGCTAATTTACGCCATTCGCCTATTTTCAAGCACAGCAACACGTATATTTATTTCATCTAAAATATCAATTGATTCGTGTTTTATGATGCTCCTATCCCATTGTTAATACATATACGATATCAGAGTTATTCGCCTTAAATATTTTGAGATATAGAGGCAAATGTGGAGGACGAAAGGATTTCCATATGTGTACATTTTTCTCAAAAAAACGTCACATTCTGTGGTGTTAAAAAGCGAAAATGTGTAACAATGCGTGCGCGACCTTTTTGCGACACGTCATAGTTATTAACTACCAACTGAAGACGAAGCTTTCTTTTAAGAAGTGAAGTCGAACTAATGTAAAGGATACATTTGATGTGCTTGTGGTTGCGATTTCAAACGTCGATTACATTGATTAGTATTATTCAAATGAGAAACAAGAAACAACGAAGAGCGACATATCCATATTTTGTAGATTACTAGCATTTATAAGCCATCATGCAACGTAAAATAACTCAAAATCCCTCTCAAATATCACTTAATATGAAGACAATAGAAAAGCACGAAGTATCATTAAATGTTTAAACCTACCAAATCAACCAAACTTGCTAAGCAGTGCATACAAATTCTATATAATATATATAGGGAAAATTATATATAATAGGTCTATCCATTCACAAAGGTAACGATTATACATTTCAATCATTCTTATTCTATAAATACTCGTACTACAATAATGCGGAAATTACAAAAAGTTATTTTTGTGAATGTTACAATGTATGTCCATTTCTTTAAAACGAACGGACGCGGGGTATACTAGACTCTTTTGAACGGATTTCGTGACAAGTCATGTTGAATGATATATCATTCAATTAGAAAGTTTGATTACCAGATTAGAGGCTCAACTCTACCTACAGTTCATATATAATTTATCTCAACATACAAAAGTCGTCAATGCAGTCCACCAGAATGGCTGAAAAGTGTTCTTAGTTTCGTAAGATCTGATTACTAAGCGAGTCAATACAACTAACAATTGTTTGATTGAACTTGTGATTAAACGCCTCTATTGAACAACCGAGAAAGTTATTGCCATAACCCAAAGTCATTCTCTATCCTCAGATACAACACGTACGATTTAATCACATAATATTTCACAGCATTGGACATTTTAAACGGTTTATCAAGAAAATGCAATTGGACTAAGTTGCCATTATTAAGATTTTAAACACTTAAATAAGTTATAGTTTGAATAAAATGTGTTGTTGAAAAACTCTATGTTGTACTAAATCTCGCATATAAACTGAGATTTGACAAAGGTGTTTTGTTAGAGGAATTTGTTAAATAAATAAGAATCTATTCACTTCTGCCATATATGGATTATATTTCTTAAATTGATGTATATTTAGACTGATAAATAGTGCCACTAAGGTAGGTCAATAAAAATCCCATCTAACTCTTAAGAAGGCATTATTTGTCGCATCTGTAATACGTTAACCACTGTTCTTATCATCGGCTATCTATGATCAGTGCTTGAAGAAAATATATTTTTGAGTTGAGGAATACATTTATAATCTACTAGTTAGTTCAATTGCATGTGTTATTATTGATATATGAACATTTTGTAGCATGTATTTTTAGCCTATTCTAGGTCGATGCTTCAACAGGATTGGGCCAATTGCAAGGAGCTGTTCGGCCAGTGAAGTTGTGTGGGTCTAGAGGAGCCGAGCGGCTTGTATTGATTAGGGGCATTTCTAGCTATCTATCTACACGCTTCCTAATTGCTATTTTATGTTTATCTGTTCCAGTAGCCGCTATAACGCCTTCACCGACGTACACATGATGTTATGGACGTTTTAATGGATAATCAAAACTTCATAAAAGATGCTGGAATTTATTCAAGAACAGTTGGATTTATTTTGTTAAAATGGTTGAACTAAATGGGAGTAGTTACGGAACTGAGGGCTCCAACTCCAGCTTTGGAACAGATTCAATTATACAATACGGTTTACCGAACAAGGAAGGAGTTTACAACGATACGGGATGGATAACAGATTCTATATTTATTCCACAAGACGGAAATATATCATATTTAATGAATAACTACACGGATAGCGGTATGAGTTCAAAGGAATTGACTACCAACGTTTATACTGAAAGTTCAAATCTATGGACTAATGTGAGCGACAATGTTACAGAAGGGAGAGGACTCCCAGATCCGGTCGGTACACTGGAGGTGATTCTAATTTCAATCATTGTAACTATTTTGTCAATATTGACTATAGGCGGAAATTTATTAGTTTTGATCGCTTTTAAGATCGATAAACAACTTCAAACAGTGAGCAATTCGTTTCTGGCTAGTTTGGCGGTTGCAGATCTGGCAATAGGTTTGATATCTATGCCATTGTACACTGTGTATCTTTTAATGAGGTACTGGCCCCTTGGGCCAATTATCTGTGATATTTGGCTCTCTCTTGACTATACTATGAGCAACGCTTCGGTTGCAAATCTTATTATTATCAGCTGTGACCGATATTTATCGGTCACTCGACCGCTCACCTATCGTGCCAAACGAACACCAAAACGTGCGGGCATTATGATTGCGTGCGCATGGATTATCAGCGCCCTCATGTGGCCACCATGGATAATAGCGTGGCCATATATTGAAGGAAAACGAACCATAGATATTCATCAATGTGCCATACAATTCCTGACATCCAACGAGTACATCACCATCATTACTGCAGTCATTGCATTTTACCTTCCCGTTTGCGTCATGTGTGCTCTTTATTTCAAAATCTTCCGCGCTACCCAAAAACGGCAAAAGGGTTTAGCGAAAATAGACGCTAATCGTCAAATTGCTTACAGCAGTAGTAGGAAGAAGTGTATCTCCAGTGACGAAGATATTCACTCCAATATCAATTCACATTCTCAAGGTCGACCTCGAAGTGACTCGTCAGACCTAGAAAACATATCAGTGTCGATGGAAAATATTAATTCAGGGCCATATAGACATCGTAAATGGTGGCAAACGAGTTGTTGTCGTAACTGCCGCATAATAGACCGCGATACCGACTACGTTGAAGAGTCGAGTACTAGTGACCCTCAACAATCAGACATAACCCCCGTCTCCACGGCATTTAAAACCACGTCTTTTACGTCATCGTCACGTGATCATTCCAGTGGGGGCATTTCAACTTTGAATGGAAAATATGGTAACAAAAAACCTTGTATCCCAATCAGTGTAATGGAACCATTAATAAGCTCAAAGTCAAAAGAAATTCAGAATAGTATATCACCAGCGAGGAAAAATAATTTATCAAGTATTTCAGAACATGAAAAAGAGTATAGGGATTCTATGTACACGATTCTAATCAAACTGCCAACAGACTCTTCCAATCCTAACTCTAAACCATCGATTCAAATGTATTCGGACACCGACACTGACGACGACGTTTATCATGGTGAACGCCGACTCAGTGAAGTCAGGGAGAGCAACGATATGGATAATGTTAGTGATGAAGTCATGAAAAATGTAAGAATAACAAGCGAGGTTAATACACCCGATGGTTCCCCGATTTGGAAGCTAAGGGAAGAATTTACTCCTCCGGTATCAAACATGAGTCTAATTTCCAAATCTCCCTATGTAAAACATGTTCCCCGTTCTAAGTCATATCACAATAACGACAATGAAATTGTGAGTAGACAAACTCCAGGTCATAGGAGTAGATCGCAGGATGATGGTCTCGTTCTACCGAACCTAAGTAGGCGATTAACGGAGACAACGGAAGCTATTAGGACTGCCGTTCAAGCTAAATTCCATGTTCACACAAAGGTTACACAAAAAGTCCGTTCATCGAGATCAAAAAAGAAATTCAAAGAAAAGAAGCAGGATCAAAAAGCAGCCAAGACTCTCAGTGCCATATTACTAGCATTCGTGTTGACATGGACCCCATACAACCTGTTTACGGTCATCATGGTGTTCTGTCCTCTCTGCGTCAATGACAGTCTCTATGCAATAGGTAGGTATATTCTTAATCTTGCATGATTGCATCTGATCGCATTAGATGCAAGAGCATACCTTAACGATGAGCTACACATCTTAAGAGGGCTCAGTATAATGGATAAATAGGCACTCCCGCCGCAGATCACACGTTCGCCTTCTACTCTGCTCATTTCAAAGAAAAAAAGAAAAAATCATCATTATGAAATCATTCGAAACTTCTCATTAATTTCACAATTTAACCATGCTTGCTTCACAAGTATAAATCAAAACCATTCAGATATAAACTTTTTTTCAAAAGTGCTTGTCTTTTTTCTCACACAAAATCATCGTTGGGGTTGCCAATCGTGCATCCACATTCCAAAATTCAGGTTCAATTAGCCCGAAGTATGTTTACAACATGACATGTCTACATTCATGACGTAAAGACTCTAAATCATTGCATTGTAAAATCATATATAAATGTATACCCTTTTCAAGAGGTTCAAGAATGTCTACACTACAGACTCCGAGCAATCTTATCTGCTTGATTGGACTCATTGGAAGGGTATCTATGTCGGTGGTTTATATTGAGAGCTTTCACAATGTTCATCATATTCACTTCGGGCAATTTAATCTGCTTGATTGGACTCTCCCTTTATCTGTTTGTTCTATTCAGAGTGTATGGACTGGCAACACTCGTCTAGGACTAAGGGTATCTAGTTCGGTGGCTTATATTGACAGCTTTCACAACGCTCCTCATATTCACTCCTGTCATTCGTATCTGCTTGATTGGACTCTCCCTTCATCTGTTTGTTCTATTTAGAGTGTGCAATCGTCTAGGGGCACATGGTATCTAGTTCGGCTTATATTGAGAGCTTCACAACGCTCATCATATTCACTCCGGGCAATCTTATCTGCTTGATTGGACTCTTCCATCATTCCATATCCAGGTGCCAAGCAAATCACTTCCTTTATTGGTAACTTGAACCAGGCGTTGAACTTCACTTCGTGCGTTATATCTTTTTTCTCAATGCGTACCTAAATGTAAAAATCGGAATTTAACATAAGTGAGCAGCTGTAGTCATTTGTTTCAACAAACTAACAATACCGTCAGTTGTTCAAATTAAAAAAGCGGATACGTCAGGTAAGTAACACGCAACCGTCGTGTCACGATAACTAGCTTAAAGGTAGATCTTAAGATTGAGATTTCCTGAAAATATTCTATCAACAATTTTTCCTTTTAATATTGTATCATTTCTCGTTGTGGTCATTTTGTAAAAATAGAATTTCCATATGGCTAAGAATAAATTTGTTACTTGAACATTGCTTGCAACTTGCTTACCGTCTCTTTAACTTTGGTGCATATTTCACCTTTATACTGATCCATCAAGCTTTGACTTCAAAAAGGTTTTTGAATTATTGAGAGAAGATTTGAAGGAATTCCTTATGAGAAAGTAGAAACGTACACACACAAGCTCAATAAAATTGATAAATGCTCATGATTTAACACTCCTGCTACACAAATAAGTTTGAAATTATGAGATCCGTATGTTTCCCTGTATTTAATTTCCATTAGTTCTGCGTTAGAGCCTCTGGGATGAGCTTCCGATGCATAGGGAGGAAACGAAAGTTAATTTTAGAATGTAATTGAAAGCTTTTGTTTTACAGTAATGAGCTCCTTATATTGGAAGTCGCTTTTGAATATGACAAAGCCATTTGTCATTACAATTACAATCTTCATACTGTCATACAAGCTATTGCTTTAGCCTTTAGTCATATGTGATACCAAGATGGGTCCAAATGGATTCTAAATCCTGAAATTTGTTTGAACATTCCCTCAATTTTTGAAGCGATGGCCCTTTAAAATAATTGCGTAAAAATTTACAATTGTATATTTTACTACCAAATATTGAAGGAAGATGGTTCACGAGTTCACATACAGACGGACGGATTAACCGACCGACGGGCGGATACATTTGCAATGTCCCTTTCCAATGCAAGGTTAAATCGATGGGATAATTATTGTAGATGAACCCCCCTTTTAAAGAAGCGGAATTAAAATATTGAAAAGGGTAGAAACGATTTCTTTAAGTCATGCATTTAGAGACATCGTTAGCTCTGCAATATCCATGAAATGATTTGGCTATTAAATTAATCCTATTTATCAAGGCCGATTAATGTAATGATAGTGCCGAATGCTATTGAGCCTATTGTACTTGTGATGAGTAGAACAAAAGATACGGTCCCATCACACGAGCTATAGTTGTATATTATGTAACATCATACAAATATTAATCCCAATCCGATGTTGGTATCTCAATCTGTTAAGTATTTATTAATCAATAGAAACAGACGCCCTGTCTTTTTCACCTTGAGAATAATAATTATTCTTACACTCTGAATTTAGGTTGGGATGGGATACTATTTTAATACATCTTCCATATATTCGTTGACCTTGTACATCGCCCTTGATACCCTGCGCGCAGAGTCTATACTAGTTATAAACTGCCGAAGACGAAGCTCTCTTTTTAGAAGTGAAGTCGAACGAATGCAAAGGGTATGCCCTTTGTAGATGCAGATACCAATAATTCACAGGACGGGTGCGATAGCGTGAATTGTTCAAAAACAACCGTTGGCACTGCCCTGGTCACATTATCACACCGGTCCATCACAGGACAATTGTATATCATGGAACATCATTCGATTATTAATTCTTCATCCTAGATCCTACAACGATGGTGGTATCTCAATCTGTTAAGTAATTATTAATCAATAGAAACAGGCCTGTCTTTTGGTATCCCGAGGTCTTGCGGATAAAAATTATTCTTATCCTCTGAATTTAGGTGGAGATGGGACACCATTTTAATCCATCTATCTTTTCGTTACCTCGTACATTACCTTTGATACACGCAGATGCATCGGACGGGTGCGATACCGTGATTTGTTTAAACCGGTGCCGCTCCGGCCACACTATCGCACCACACCGATCCATTATCATCATGATAAAGTATGACATCTCATTTCTTCTTAGCCCTGTCTCTGTACGTTCAGGTGTTCTTGTTTCAGGTGAAACAGAAGGGTGTTATGAGTACCAGAATGGTCCATTATCCATACTTGCGTATACCAAATGCAAGGGTATTAAAGTACACAGTTCTTTTTGGACACTTGGCCCGGGTGAAGAATGACGTATTTTAAGTTTGAAAACACTAGATGTTCAAATATAGGTCAATAATTGAATGAACATGTGCCTACATTTAGAAACTGATATCAATCTGAATCTGAAATTGCAACGTTATCTATCGTCAAGCACTTCGAGTGAGGTCTCGATCGTGAAACAAAAATTAATTATTGTTTCTTTGCAGTCTGTCTATCATTTTGACAATCGACATATTAAGACAGATAATTTTGTTTTGGCATCGTGCATATTTGAATTGCAAAATTGTCACTGAGAAATCGAACTATCTCCCGTATCCTGAACTGTACCTAATCTGTAATCGATACATTTAGCCCATTCGGCATGTGAATAATTGGGCCTAATTGTTCTAAGCAGATAACGACCTTGAATTTTCACTTGTACAGAAATTGAGCTCTTTGTGTGTCTCCGATAGCGAACCAATATTTGTAATTGAGACGGATCATAGAGGAATTATGATGATGCAATTCAATATATGGATAGCGAGAATGGTAGTAACTAAAACATTTCGCTCGATATCATTGTTCTTTGGCGATGTTAAATAGTTAGAACCTTCTATGTTAAATGAATCTATTATAATCTGACGCCGATCAAAAATATATAAAATCAATTTGAACAATTTATCATTATGTTTTTTATAACTTAAATGAGGTGATGTAATTTTATTGGATATGGCGTGCATTATCTCATTGTTCCAAGTTATATCATTTTTTACTTTGTTCACACGCAGCACAGGATAATTCAAACACAAGGGACAATTATTTATTTATATCGGTATTTTATTCCATGTCTATTTTCGCATTGTTCCCTAGTGGTTTCAAACAATACCCATTGCGTTTTCAAATATTATTTCTGAGTTTCGAGATGCTTTTCACAGCTGTCCCGTGTTCGACACACTTGGCAATGGTATCAGCAATAGAGGTCGATGAGCCTATTGTATAACCAAAAGCACATAAAGATCAATGTTACGAAATAATGAATTGATTCGTCCTGTTCAACATTTATCTCTCCAATGCCGAACCCTTTCATCATAGTATTCAATCAAGAAATGGTTCACGGGGTTATATCCGACATAGAAATTAACACATTTCGTAAGGACTCTCCAACAGTGAACGTTCCTTTCTAGTTTTAGCAATAATAAGCTTGGCTGATGTCAATGCAATCTTCAAATGATTGCATCTAAATGGAAATATTTGGAGAGCAATTATTTATCGGAGCATTCAACTTTCCTTTTTGATACAATTCCATACACCTTTACAAATGTCATCTTAGATTACCAAGGTATGCAGTTCTAATGAAGTAAGTGAAAATCAAACTGGTTAGCGAGTATGTACCCCGGGGAATGTACAAGTGCTTCGAGCTTTCGAATTGTAACGATTTGCTGGAGAGGAATGTCTCACCACGTGACTAGGCTCATCCTTTGTACGAGTGGACACTTCACCAGCTGTCTATCGATATACCCCACTTGTAATTCTCATGCTAACAAGCATGTGAATTAATTGCCGAGTCTCATCACATAGCTAGTTGGTCTAGTTGGCTTCATACAGACTAGATTTCTAATATCCATTTTCAATATTTCAAAATTAAACAGCTTACTAATAAATGTAAATTGTCTGGGTGTCACATTCAATATCGGTATTTTGAAATACATGCATTTGTTGGCCTTCTGGGGTTTACAGGCTTTTTTCGATTCGAGATAATTCGCATATTTCTTGAGTTTTTGAATATTTGAGGTTTATAAAATCATTTAACTATTGTATGGATTGGTTCTAGTGCGCCATATTCTGTTATTTTAATATATCACATAATGGCTGTCGTTTTTAGATAAAGTGTGTGTTTGGGAA